AAAATTATATAAATAAGAGGGAATATTTGCTTAAAAAATGTTTTTTTTTCTCAGTTGGTCAGGTGAGACTAACCCTTCATGGCCTATCGCATTGCCCAAGTGGAATAAAAGATAGGCTAAATTTTTATTATTACATGCTTTATCATGCACACAAAAAAGACTGAGTGCTAAAACTAAATTCTTATAAACATAGTCATAGTTGAAAAATAAAGTTTTTGTATAGCCCTTTCTAAAAGCAGTCAAGCATCTTGATAAGATAATATAGTAATTTCTATTTAAGTCTGGTTTACTTTGAGGATATCCATCCAATCCAATTTGACAATGTTGATTCATTGAAATAGGAAAAAATAACTTGAGTGCCCCAGCACTGCGAGTCTGCAAATCTCGCACGAGCAATTCTTTAGGCGAAACGAGATTAATAAAGAAATGTATCTGACTTGTGCAACTAAATGGGAAGACAGACAAATGAGCAGGATGAACAAAAGGAAAAGCACGTAGACAGGCAAATATGCGAAAAGGTGGGCGATGAAAATAGACAACCTGAGAATGTCTTTAGTTTACTCACATGCCCATAGACCTTTCCCACAATCAATGCAGCTTGTAACATGGCTGATTGAACGGCAGAGTGACGGTCGTTAAGACCCTCCGGTACAAAGAAATTAAATAACATTAACAACCATGGCCCCCCGACAGCGGCGTGGCCTCCTTCACCACCTGAACTTGTACCAAACTCTGCAGTTACAGGGCGATCGGCCAATTCATCGTCCACAGCAGACGAGACGGCTTCCGAATTTGGGATAGCACTTGCATTTCTACCCATAAGGATAGCCCACTCGGCCAAAGCGCCTAGACAGCCAGCTAGACCGACGCGTTGACGCCAGCAGTCAGGCGAAGCAGGCTTTAAGATCCTGTCAAGATTGTCTTTAATGGCAGGATCCCGCTGAAACGAAGAGAGTTCAATTTAAGACAAAATATGGCTACGTAAATTCTTTAAGACAATAAACAAAGACTTGGATAAGCTCTGTACCAAAAAAAAGATTGTTGAGTAAATTCTAAAAAGAAAGGTTTTCAGTTGACCTTAACTAAAATATATACAAGTATTCTTATTGTGAGGATAAAATATGTTCATGGAATATATCGAATGTATACAGAGAAGCTTAGCGGTAAAAAAATTAACTTTACAGCCACCTTCCCCGAATATATTTTGAGTAGGTTTTAGCGACAACGAAATATGGTAAAAATGATGTAAACATAAATATTAAAGAAGTGTCAATGAGGCTAAACTGCTTGTAGCGAGCTAGTATGTCTTGATATTAGCTTTTAAACCAGATATCATTTAGATAATTTCGAGACCAAAATATTATTTTTATGCAGATATTAACAGAGTATAGAAACATAAGGAGAACACGAATAAAGTAAATGACAAAAATAATTATAAAACAGCCATCTAAAAAGGCAAGACTCTATTCAGCTGTTTCGATAAGGAAACGGACTAGCGCTTCAGAAAATATGAATAAGGCGGGAATATAAACCAACCTTCAACATGCGTCGGTATAATGCGATGATCCAGTCAAGCAAGATAGCGAGGTGAGTTGGCGTTGGTTGTCTACCAGCCAAGCAAAACGCCAGAGATTCGGATGCAGCACGCTGAACGTCGCGCACCGGCCTCGTCGCTTCCAAGCAGACACGCTCTGCGAGCTTTGCAGGTGGGAGCAAATCTGCCTTATGATGAAGACTATAAGGCTGCGTCCCGGCTAAGAGTAGTGGATCCGGCTCTTCACGCAGAATAAGTAAAGATGACTGTCTGGGATGTGGTGATTCACAGGCTGAGTCCAGGTGTAGACTCTTCCAAAGCCTTATAACATATTTTATTCATAAAAAGAGTAAAGCAGATTTATCCATGTATATAAACTAGCTTAGGGTTTTTATCTTGATCCCACCTTGCTTTTTTTACTATTAGATACGAAGAGAAGCTGGGTTTCGATGAATCTCCAGAGATAACATTGTTGGGGGGACTTTTATTTGATATAAAAGTGTATGAAGAAGAGATTCGTAGGTTGATCTCACCAGAAGAGGACGGATGAATCCCGTTGTACTGCAGACGTTTGACTTTTATACGACCTTCAGGTTGACTGAGTCCAGGAGACATCCTCCCTCGTTTCGGGGGAAAACGAACTGAGCTTTCGTCCATCATATGATGGACATCATCATCAGAGCTGGGTGTCATTCCAGCAAAAGTCCCACGTTAACACTAGGGCAAAAAGATTATCAGGCTCTATACGCTATACTGGTCCTAAATCAGAGTTATCAAAAGGCGAATGTCAGGCTCTGATCATCAAGGCCTAACGACCCAAAAGAAAGCCTTGACCGAGATTGCGTAAGTCCGTAGACAAGTATGGTTGAGATAATGAGATGTAGGCTTGTAAGCATGTAAGTCAAGTTACTAAGTCACTCAATCTAGGGGCATTAACTTTTAGCCATTTGAGGAAAGAAACGACTAGGGCTGTGTATTCTGACGTCTGGTTTGGTTGGTGAACTTAATCTAACATGTTGGTCGAGTGTGAGTGAAGTTAGAATCATC